AAACATAAGGTTGTTCTTTAAGCTCGCCAATAGCTTCATAGTTCTACACGACAGTAGACACGTACCAAGGCTAACTATATACATGGACGGATGCAAGCATTAGTAATCGAAAGATGTAACAGGACAATTTAAAGGCCTATCAAATTGGAAACATTGGCAAACTTGAACCAATTATAAACTTCAAACGACTGAGAGGAACAGATATAGAATCAGAATACGAGAGTACAGCATCCCAACTAGGGCCTTCTAATAAGAAAGAATTAAAACTATTGGTATTTTATTTTCACAATTAACCCCAAACACGCAAACACACCTTAATTAAAATAACTAATCACACTGGGAAGAATCAGAAAATGGGTAGCTATCCGCTCCGTTCACAAGTACCCCCTCACCGGCAAAGAAAGTACAGTTGAGGGTGACCGACCGACGCCATCTTGCCTGACTGCAATTTTGCCGCGACGCGCGGCCGTACAACTGCGTGTACATATAGTACAAATCCCCTGGTGTACGTGCGTCAAACATAAGGAACGGTGCGCGTCAACCACCTAAATGTCCCGCCCATGGGACGTCGTTGCTAGGTAAAAGGGCGTCCTCTTTCGTTGGCGCACGGAGCCCATATTTTACCCAATTCCCAGGGCCTATTACAGCAGAACGAGGTTGAAACAGAGTAGACTTTTGAGAACGAGGTTGGGTCCATCTAGTCTGGTTCCCCGACCTGACAATTTCCCCCGACGTCTACACGTCTAAATTGTAGGTCAGGCAGCCTCCGTGGCTAAAAATAAACATGACGACATTGACGGCCCTTTTTCAAAGCTCGAATTCGTTTCCGAATTCGCTTTATCACATAAAGCTTTTAATGTTCCGATAATTTTTTTAAAAAATAAATCACTTGCTTCATATATCATACAGTTATGATATACAGTTTGATACTTCTGTAAAAAAAAATACTGACTAATTTTAACCTGGAATCTTCAAAGTTGGACACCCAAACAGCCTGGCACTGTTAGCAGGCGGAGCCGAATTGAGACCACGCCGCGTTTTGGAAAATGCCGGTAACGGTCGTCAAATTCAAACTAGTGCATGACGCAGCAAAAAGTTCGCCCCTCGTATACGATCCGAGTGCAAAATCGTCGTTGAATTTCAAGTTTTCTAAATAAAAGCAATGGATATTAATTATCAACTAGTTTTTTAAAGTTTTTAATAAGCAATTAGCAGTTAATAAAACCTGTATTATACTCGGAAATACTCGGACACTATCCGATTGTCGACGAAATGAATTCGGCAAACTTCGGACAGTTTCGGAAAAAGGAGGAATTCCTCCCGTTTTAGTCACGTGATGTAAATTGTAATACATTGTATTACCGGAGGCTACCTGACCTAAGATTCATCAGGAATAGTCGGAATCTTTTGGTCTGGGAACCAGACTAGGGTCTATCCGCCACGTTACCACGCATGCGCATTCGCGGCTCTCGGTATTGTTCCATCCAACATGTTTTAGCTCATGTTTACGTTATCATCAAACATACATTCACACAATACTCGAAGTGCTTCCAGAAACAAAAATATATCCGTGTAACAATACAGTCGAACGTTCTTGTTTAAAAACAGTCTTATTCAACGTGGTGCATATTTCTGAAACAGTTAGTGAATCTATGAAAAATTACCATCACAGGCTATATTTGTCAAAAACTTTCAAAAACAACTTCTTGATGCACATTTGTAACTTTTAATTGTTATGTCTTAGTACCTGCATGCACACTCATATGCTGGTGTAGTCCTTTGTCATGTCTGTCCCGTTGTCTGTCCATAGGTTAGGGAACAAAAACATGTTTGCTTCACCAAAACCTAAATATTGTCCTTTGTGTAATAATTTGATAATGACCTTAACCTGTAATATTGTATTTCAACTTATTGTAAACACTGTACACTTCCAAGGACAGCATTGAAATAAATGTACTATCCAATCAGTCAATCGGCCTACCCTCAATCATTTAAAGGGAATGTACATCATTTTCTTTTGCTGCAACTTACAGAAATAAATGGATTTGGAGGATAAAGTATGTTATGGCAAATATTGTTAACACCGACCATGGGCGTCGCGAGGGGGGGGGGCAAGGGGGCACTTGCCCCCCCCCCCCGGAAAAGCAAAAACAAACAAAAAAGGCAGGGGAAAAAAGGGGGAGAAAAAAGAAGAAAAAAAAAGAGGCGCGAAGGCATAGTGGTATTATTTTAATGGGTTGGGGGGGGGCAAACTGTCCCTGCCCCCCCCCTCTAAAACTGATAAATCGAGAATATGTTGAGAAATACATGAACTTTTTGGGAAAAATATGTTTTGCCCCCCTCTAGAAAAATCCTGGCGACGCCCATGACACCGACTTGTTCCACGTTTTGGATTCATACATGCTGGAAAACAAGAAAACCAATCATTTTCTTGTAGTCTGGTTCCCTGACCCCACTTAATTAAGATGAAACAGAGCAATTTATAGACTTTGGGGAATTGTAAGGTCAGAGAATCAGTCTAGCAGGCTTGTACTCCTTCACAGGTGTGTAATCAATTGCAAACAAAATGCGAAATAAATAAATTTGAAAAATTAGGAGCAGTTTTTGAAGAAAAAACAGTTTTCTCTATTTAACGCTGGTCGGCCGACCAGCGTTGGAAAAATACAATTTGTTTGCAAATGTCAGCACACCAGCAGCTACGATTTTAAAGGGTGCTTTAGACTGTCATTCCCTCACAATAAATGGCAGTAAGTTATTTCGTGATAATTTGATCATTTCGTTTTTGGATGTTTGCAAATGTTGTATCTTCCCTTTAATCAGTCTTACAACCGTCACGATAGCACCCCCTTTAATGTCGAGCCTAGTCTGGACCGCTTCAAGCCGCACAATGCATTGCAGCGACCTGTCTAGACGGAGAGTTGTCTTTACATTAGGGATGAAAACAATCCCCCGCGACAAATCCTCGAACTTTGCCCGGCAATGATTCCCCCCAAACCGTAAAATACGGAGCTCGGTGCTCGGTGAAACACGACGCCCAGGCGGGAAGAAGGGCAAACATTTGCCCGGTCCCGCTGGGGGTAATTGCATCGTGTCTGATATTCACAGCGGTGTTCATGTCGGAGTACGGGGTGGGTCTGAGCATGGAGCTCCACGGTCTGAGGAGAGCTAGCCGATCGAGGGGGCTGGCGGCCGGCCAGTGTTTGCGGCTTGGCGCGCGGCCGCGCGCGACGAGGCGCATCCTTAAAAATCCCAGATGCGACGCCTGCAATAATACAGACCAAGAAGCATAAAGACCTTAAAGTTGGTGTATACGTGCTTTTTGGGTAGTCTTATGAGTATCACCCATTATCCACGGAGCAAGTCTCCTGTATAACGTCTGAAATATCTAGACATGCAGATATATGCAAGCCGCGCGCCAGCCATGCAATCGGAGGCGACTTTACTAAATCGTGACGTCATTCCATACCCAAATCAGGACTAAATGGTTTGATTGGTCAATTCGAATGCATTATTTTTGTAATAATCAACAGTCGGGTGCATATTTGCGCGTAACATGATACAGAGTGCGTGAAACAGGATTTATCCATATTGCCTATGACGCCCAACTGGTGAATGACCGAAGACTCGATATAGAAAGAGCCCGCTGATTGGTCAAAATCCAGAGGTCAAGAGGCGGCTGTCTTGCCTAATTCATCAGCGAATCTGCTCACATATTATAAAACTATTACCATAGACTACTGTTTGAGTGTGGCACCTTGAAAAAAAAAGGTTTTCAAATTGAACTGATAATTTTCTAGCATTACATTATAGTTATGAGCTTTTCAATGAGACATCGCACGAAAAAAATCGGCCCACGACAAGTAATTAAATCAATTAATTAATTTCAACTTTTGAATTAAGAGCGGGACGCTCCTCAATCGTTCTGAATAGTGCGCACCATCTAATAACACATTTTAAAACTGTATTAAGGCCTGCAAAAATAAACAAGCAAATTTGTTTGTTGCAGGACATTGTATTCCTTTAAATGTCGTTCGTTCGAATTTCGGGGGTCACAATTTTGTCACCGATAAATCGAGCTGTTTTTCAGTCCTAGTTGTGATCCAGCCGCACAGTGGTTCGCACTCTGCGGACGTGTAAGAAACAACATTTGTGTATTTGTAATGCGTGTGTGATGTGCCACACACGCACATGTACGCTGGATTAAATAAACACGACTTGAAATACGTATGGGTATGTCACCAAATGTCCGTCGCGTCCGAAACAACCGTGGTTTTTTTTCCTTCTTTTCTCGGGATCGGTAAGACATAAGGTTTGTTTTCTTTCAATCAGACCTTTGAAATAGTATAAGTAAACAATCCAAAACATGACATTTTCGGGGATTTAGGCCGTAATACCCCTTTAACATGGCCGCCAGGCATACATGTGTTCAGTATGCAACCTCGTCCCCAGGGTGTCGAGCAGTACGCGCCCACCACAACCTGCTCTCTCACCCTGGTATTGGATCATTTGCATGTGCAAAATGTTTGAACACGTATGCAAATGAGAGAAGTCTGGTGCCTGTATGTGCGTTACATTAGCGTTTGTTTTTGTATGCGGTGTCTGGGGTAAAAACAGCATCAATTCGTCGCGCCGTGAATTTCGAAAGCACGATTTTTATGAAGTTAAAATGCTACAATCTGGCCTGCCAATATGCAGCATCACATGTCATATTATTATGAGCAAACTGGAAAGGAAATGAGTATTTTTGAAAAGGCGCGTGGACGAAATTACAATGATCGTGAAAACACGTAATGCACGTTGGAAAGTAACACCACCAACTACACGATATAAATCCATTACTAGCGAATTGCGGCATGGAATCAGTATACAGGAAGAAAGTTTCCTATCCAGGGCTTGCTATTGGAAACCAGGTTGGAAATAAAGTAAGCACTGGGGACGAGTTTGTTCAGTACGTTGCTCCGGTTTTGATCATGTGTTGTACGAACCGACTAGTGCAAGTCTTGCCGCGCATTTATAATATAATTATGAATGAAACCAATTCTGCTGGTATTGAAACCAGCAATTCCAGTCAAAACACCGATGACTCATAGCATAGCACGCGACCAGCTGTGCAGGGCTATTGTACTTTTGCAGCCGTGCTGCTTCGTGATGATTATGTAGAAATCGATCTTCATCTCCGCTTATAAAAACGGAATTTATCTATCGCCGTAGCACATTTCAACATCACCGTCAGCATCGGACTCAGTGCAATTTCCACTGCCTGTAGAGCAACAGATGCAGGGTCTGCCGTAAAGGAAATCATACTGTAAGTACACTTCGGTCTGTATGATGTACGTGTAAATAATGAGTCGTCTACCATGCATACCACCGGAATCATTTTGCGATCGTAGCGCGTTTTTTTTTTCTTTTAGCGTGGCAGACGATAGGGTTCATCGGGGCTGCAGGGGTAATTTCCCCCACTGGCATCGACGTGACGGCACGCTCAGCTAGCAGCGCATTACTCGTGCACTTGCTAAATATCAGTGGTGTGTAAAATCGCGGTGCGTGTAAAAAATATGTTTGTGTGTTAGAGAAATATTTGCAACAGATAGACCTCGCTTTAAATCGCATGAGAATTTTGAGTTTTGTTTGAAGCTTTATTAAATAATAAATGGGAGATAATCTATGCATGCCACACAATGAGAGAGAACTCCCTCCTTGCTTAGTGGTATGTAGCCACGCCCAACAGTGACCTTCCCTGGAAGTGTTGCGTTATGGTGATCGAGTAGATTTTTTTCTCCTACATGTGCGACAGACATGTTAATTACCAATAATGGGTGTATTAGCAATGGTAATGCCTTTCGGGGGCACATTAACCAACCGTGACATTGAACGGGTTTGTGTCGCTGTGATGTGAATTGTAAAGAGTCGTTTTTCTCTTGCGAATTTGCTTTTTTATTGTTTGCCATGAGCCTTTGCGAAAACCTTCAAAAGAGACTCGGGCGGGACTCGAACCCACTGCTGCTGAAGGGCATGTTCACATTCAAAGGCAAAAAGTAATCAGATTTGACCAGAGTATAGTCAATCCTGCACTGCTAAAACTGTTTTAGCAATTAAACACTTTCTAAACACTTTCTTGCTGTCAGTTTGTAAACATGTTTAAATATTAAACAAGTTTAGAGTAAGGATGGAAAGTGTTTAGCCACACTGCAAAAACTGCACAGTGTTAAATTTACACCACTGGTATCTATATTGGACCATCTGGTGTTATATTTCACTGGTGTTGACCTATATAGATACCGAATGGTGTTAAATTAACTCTACAGTTTTTGCAGTGCATTGAACATTAATGTGATGTTTAGGAATTGGACACGTAATGTTTAGCTTCTAAACACACATACTGGAATGTGTATCCTTGTGGAGTCATTTCTTTGTTCTCGTGTACTAAAGTTTTCGAGTTTGAGAGTGTAGTTTCAAAATGCTGGTATTTTAACCAGAATTAATTTCCTGGGCTGAAATTCGGACTTAATATCCCTGACATAATATACTTCAATTTGCGACACATCAACACACCTTGGAAATTCCTAGTTTTTGAGTAAAATCCATATATCTATTTTGTGATAACCTTGTGGAGACGTATTCATCTATAGAAATTGCCCTGTGGAGACGTATACAGTCTTTTAATTTGTTCCCTATTATGCTCATGTCTCCCCAGGGTACCGTGTGCCAGATCACTTTTTTTGCTATCACTTTGTAAACAGGTTTGAATAAACATGTTTAGAGTATTGATGGATAGTGTTTATCTCGTCTTGTCTTGATGAATACTGCACCAACACCCCTTCTCAGGGGTCACACGGGCAGGGTTGGTTGTGCGCATGGATTTGTTGTTATGCTATATAAAATAGGGGCCTACACGCACACTTGACGGATGGTACAGATGAAAAAAACTATCTAGATGAATCTCCGCCTTTCAGGTTCAGCAAATCTCCCTAATTGTGCAAAAACCTTGCCTATAGATGTTATTTAACAGTCAGGTGAAGAGATTTTGAGTGAAACTAAGCTCCAAAAGGTGGTATTGGAGCAGATAATGTTCAGCGATCTTTCAGAACTTGCTCTCCACTCGCGCATGTTTAGCCATTGAACATTGATGTTTAGGAATTGGACACGTAATGTTTAGCTTTTCAACATGTTTACAAAGTGATAGCAAGATTGTGTTTAATTGCTAAACACAGTTTTTAGAGTGTGCACCTGGTTGGCTGCTTTAGTTAGCTTGTGCCAAGTTGGACAATATTTTCAAGTAAAATCTGGCCAATTTTTCCTTTTCAGTGTCGATGCATGGCTTTTAAAAAACTATCCAGAATGTCATTAAAACCCTAACCCCCTAGTAGTTCCTCAGGACTACCCTGCTAAATCCAACAGAGTCCAACCGGAGTTTCCTGCTCAATCCACTGTGCCTTATTTTCAGTTGTCTGCTGAATCCAACGGAGTCCAACATGGCGTTATATAATGCGGTTCAGTTGCCTGCTGAATCCAGCATTTTGCATCAGGGATGTACACAAGGGGTTTACTGCTCAATCCAACAGGCCCCATCGGGTATATGACATAGTTGGATCCTGTTGGATTCAGCAGGATTAGGGTTTTAATATTAAAGTGTATCTAGCTTAATGCATTCGATATATCACCACTATATAGCTAGGTCTACGATTACTTCAACAACCTTTACCGACATAACCGGTTGCCATCACCCCTAGTCGTCAATTAAAGTGCTACGAAGTACCGAAAATGTTTATCGAATGCACTTGCAGTCTCAGGCTAGCTTTAAAAGCCGTTGCCGCTAAAAACCGCTGGAGGCCATGTCTCAAGTTTACTTTTCTCTGCTTTCCCTCAAATTATTTGGTGCCATTATATAACAAAGTATAACATACAGGCAACAGGCTAAATGTGTATACTTCTTTGTAGCATTATTGTCAAACCTATCCGACAGATTTACCAAAAGATTACCACCTAATAAGGCGAAGCCAATTTCATTCGATTTTGATCGAAATGAAATTGGCAATGTGAGTTACATTACCACATAGGCTATACAAATCGAAATCGAATATCTGCAATATGTTCACGTATTCATGTTGTATGTACGAGACTCATGCCATGCCGAGCGTGGAGTTCAAGGTTTAATCGTCTGTGTTTTGAACATCATGAGTGCCTGCCACATTTAGTGTGTGTACGGTGGACCAGACGGCGATTAAACGTTATGTTAATGAGCGGCACTTGCAACCGTGTGACTGTGTTGTGTTTCAAACGAGGTTTTCGACACGTGTCAGTGCGATTGTCTTACGCTTGAGCAGGTACATCAGTGAACATGACGCTGTCAGGGGCGGATCCAGAATTTTTGCGGGGGGGGGGTGAGGCCCGTCAGATTTGTATGTCCGATTGTTGCGGACAGGCGGGCATAATAGGTAATGTAGCACATTGTTACTGATGCACTTATTGTTGTAAATAAAATGTGTTTGGTGCCATACAATTCTGAGATGGGTGGGACAAAATGTAACGTGAGTAACCGTAACGTGAGTAACCATGTTTTTGGTGGTTTGCCCAAAAAAATGGAAGATTCTAGAGGATTTGTTTTACTCTTATTATGTGTGGCCCATGGCATGGTCTTTTATTCATTTAAAAGAAATGTCCACAGGTTGCCTGTTTGAGGACACTTTTTGATCAAAGCATGTTTGCTTTTTATGCATGTCCAAAAATGTAACGTGCGTAACCGATTTTGTGCGTCTTGTTTATCATGCATAACACATTTTTCTGGATGTCATCTTTGGTGCTTAGGTAGGTCTTGGTCTACTCTATCTACCATTCGGATAACAGTTATTAAACCTTTTCAGTAAGGTAATTACAGCCCAAGGAAACTCAAAAGTACATCAAAAATGTAACTTGAGTAACCGTGGAATGGCCCTGTTGATTAAATCAAGGATCCCATTAACACGGTCCGTATACAGCAGTATTAGCTTGCAAGTCTGACGAAACCAGTGGAGAAAGTCAGGCTACGATGATAAAGTAAATTTCAATTTTTGGGAAAAAAATATTCATATGTCATAAATATTCTGGGGAAACCCATGGAATAGGTGCTGACAACCCAATCCTTATATCAACCGTGACGGATTCGAACCGGAGACACCGTAGGCGAAGAAAGTACCTTATATGCGTCAACCCCGCTTCCATTTGTCTAAAAATTATTGCAACGGTTTTGTGTCATTAGTTTGTCCCATTATACATACTATCAAATCCATAATAACATCTGGTGCGTATACCAAAGTCTCAGCGCAATAAGGCCTGCCCATTTAGAGAGGCAAATGTAGTAAAGTGTCTTGCCCAAGAACACAAGCACCATGTTCCCATTCGAACCCACGTACAATCACGCGTGAGTTGGACACCTAATTGGACGGTGGCGCACCATTGCTTACCACACAAGACGTACAATAAGTCCATTGGCTGAAATTATGCACAATCATGTAATGATATTAAAAGGTGCAATATACACCGCCTGATTGAGCAAGCAGGATCTCGCGTTTCATCGTAAATTGGAGTTGGTAATTTATTGACTGAGAATCCATTGACAGCAGACAACCTTTTAAATATATTGCCTTTCAAACTACGACGTTTTGTTTTCTCGTACTCACCGTTTTCGTACTCACTTTTATTTTCGTTTTCACTTTTTATATAGGCCTACAAAAACGGCCCAGATTTCAAAATGTTGGATTGAGTGACCAAGTGTAACTTACTTTTATAGTTGAAGATCAAAACTGTTGATGTTTAAACGAGAATGCTTGATGAATCTATTCAAAGTACTATGGAACACTTCTAAACGCGTTGCACTGAAATGACCGTAATGGTTTTCCCAGCATGCAATGTTTGCTTTACTAAGTGCGGTCGGCCATTTTTTTCAGGACGCAATATATGTTTCCATATCACACATTCGCTATGGGCGCATATCGAAGCACGTTGAGTTGCAAGTCAGGTTCTTGGACTTAAGTTTCCCTTGAAAAAAAAATTTGCAAACTAAAAATGTTCCAAATGACTGAAAATCTTTTAAAAAAATAAGAAGTAAAGAAAGAAGAATAAAAACACAGCATGTAGATTCGAACTGATGACCTACGGCTTTACAGACCACTACAGTACAGCAGAGACTCACTCAACTGTACTGAGTTAATTGTGGTGAATATTATTTTATTGCATGTATAGCGCCCTCCACGTAATTCTCAGTATACCAGTATAACATCGACTGTGTGGTAAAGTAAAATAATAATCCCGGCCAGGCCGCGTTTGCCA